TTTTTTTTTTTTTACAAAATTGAGCCTTATGACTGGTTTTGTGGTCCTGGGTCACATTTAGCTAATATTACACGTTTAGACATACTGCAAAATCATGTGTGCCTTCACACCAAGTTACCCACATTTACGGTAGTGACAATAACTATATTTTTACCATGGTACATACATTTTTATAAGGACACTTACTACTATTGGCAATAATGTAATCAGTTGCATAATCTCTTTCAACTTTTCTAATACCACTGACATGACATATAAGGCCAAATACGTCCACAACAGTTTGATATGTTAGACCTGATGTACTAATGCAAAACAATAATCTAGAGTTCATAATCATAGTAACTACTTTGATCACATAACCAGCTCACCTGGTACCCTGTTGTTCAATGTCACACCTCCTCTGTGCCTCCAGCAGCTTAAATTACCCTCCTTCACATAACTGCGAATCCAGCATATCCTCAGAGCTGCAGTGTCTCCGTGTCTAGAGGTCTTTATAAGCGCACAGGTGCTGCGAAGTCCAGGTAACCCGCTTGACAGCCAGCGTGCAGTACAGCGAGCACTGGAGGCTGCCATGTTTACATCGCTCTATGGGCCGGCTGTGCACTGCGCATGCGCGTGGAGTGTGGTTTTTATTTACAACTGCTTTGCGGCTTTTCACCACTAGATGGCGCGAGATGAACACAGTTTGGGGAGTCGTCGCAGACGACAAAAGCTTTGACATTTTGTATGTACTTCAACATTAATTGCAAACACTATAATAACCCTATACATCCTACGGTGTCATATTTTAATAGGCTACGCACAATTCTAAAGCCTCTGAAATATTAACAAGATTAAAATTTTGCTGAAAAACCTGTTGCACAGTTTACTACATGCCTTCTGTCGTCTGATTAATAGTGAGCACCTTTTTAAGAAGTAAAAGGCCGTTTTAGTAGCTCAGTAGCTTTAGTAACTCATTAATATTTATATTATATTAATTCATATTTCAAGATGAACACTGACTGAACTGCAAGCAACGTAGGTTTACTTGATTATCCATATAAAAAAAAAAACCGGCAAGAATTGAAATATCAGTATACTAAGGCTTATTATATAGAGTGACAATTTATATTTATGCATGCATTTTATGTAATTAGTGTGCTATAAAGATCTCACTTATTTACATTACAAGCTATCAAGAATTTAATCTTACTCTTTGGACATATAAATCTCAATGAATCTGCTCAAATTCACATATTGTTGCTTAGTTTGAGCCTCTGGTGTTTTTTCCTCCTTGGAGTATGGGCTTCATATTCTCCTATATCATGCTATAGTCATAAAAGCTTGATGTATAAATATGATACTCAAAAAAAGCTAACTTTTTTTTATGTGTAAAGGTTCAATAAAATATTCCATTAAAATATGTCTATTGTTTCATATATCAGGCTTTACAGGGTTAAAATAAATAAATGTAAATACTACAGCACATGCAAAAACACTTGTGTAGCCACAAGAAGGATCTATATAAAGATTTACAATATACTGTATGTCATCATGTGCAATTTAAACTCATCATGTAATATAACCTGGGAATCTAAACTACTAATTTTCCCTTAGCAGAGATAGAGTCAAGACCAGAACCAAGACTAGACCCCTTGAGGCCCAGACAAAGACCTCAAGAGCATCAAGACCTCTCAAGATAGGTATGATTTTAACAGTAATGACGTTATTTGTCTTTAAGTATTTCCACATTTCATTCCCACTGGACAGATTGGAAAAGTGCTGCCGTAAGGGGTACAGTCAGGAGTTAAACTAGCATTTTAACAGTCCTGAGGTTTCTTGAGGAGGGAAAATTATATTTTGAACAACATACACTGTACTCATAAAACTCCACAAGTTGTATAAGTGTGGTCTAACCCTGGCTCTCTTTAATATGGAGCTGTGCGGTGATGCCGGCCTGTGGCGACTGGGGTTTGGACGGCACTGAGACCCCCTGGTGATGATGTCATAATGACTGTGGCTGATGTCATGATGAGGCTGGTTGCTGGTTGGACGCTGAGGCTTGTGTGTGTGGTGAGTTTAACCACTGTCTCTCATGCCACCTCCGCCGGCAGGAATACGCCTGTTTCTGTGTGAGAAACGGATGTTTTATTTGAAATAGAGAATAAAGCGTCTCTGTTTGCCTTTGGGAACCCCGAAAGAGATGTTTTTTTGAAGTATGGAAACTCCACTGAGATAACTGTGTATGTTAAATGCATGTACACAATTTCTTTGAGTGGGCAGAGGTTCAGATCCAGCCATAGTCCGTCTCATCCTTCTCTTGTAACGTACAGTAAAAGTTAACAATCCCCACTCACCCTGAGCATTACAAACACGGCTAACATCTGTGTTGAATTAGAAAATCCCAGTGCTGTACGGGTCGCAACGGCTTTCATTTGTTCTCCTTTGCTCTTTCACACACTCGTTCCTTCACTTACTGTTGCACACATGCGTGAGATAGACATGGCAATGAATTGCTAACATTGCTAAAGTAATAGCACACTCTTGTGAAAAGGAAGTGTGCTTAATTGTATTCAGTGTGCATTTGTGTTGTACTTCAAAACTTAAAAAGTATTTTTTTTAACTATACTTGCAGTCAATGTCATATTAATTAAATAAAAGGACACTTAAGTGTGCTTAAAGAGAGCTCACTTCCATGACTATATTTCCTTAACACACTTAAGTACACTTTCGTAAAGTTCACTGTAGTGAAGTAAAATGAAAAGTTCAAAGCTTAAAGCATATTTCAAATAATTGTTTTAAGAATATTTTGTACTTTAATGAAGTACACTTGTTTCGATGTGTTGCGTATCACATGTATAGTACATCATTCAAATTTTAATTGTAGGGTGTTACTCAATATTACATTTAAAGTTAAAATACTTTAAATGTACTAAATTGCAACTTCATTAATAGAAATGTGAAAATACAAATAAATGTAAATATATTGCATAAAAGCTTTCAAATAAAATGATATTTATCGCGATTAATCGCATCTGAAATAAATGTTTTTGTTTACAGAATATATGTGTGTGTGTGTGTTCTGTGTATATTTATTATGTATATATAAATAAACACACATGCATGCATACATTTTGAAAATATTTACATGTATTTACATGTATATATTTATATTCATATAATTTATATTATATATACATATATTTAATATATAAACATAACATCTTTTTCTTAAATATACTGCATGTGTGTGTATTTATATATATACATAATAAATATACACAGTACACACACACACATATATTCTGTAAACAAAAACTTTTATTTTGGATGCGATTAATCACGATTAATCGTTTGACAGCACTAACATATATATTAGTTTAATGCTAGTCAGTACATTCAACAGTACACATTAACCATATTTCAAAGACAACAGTTATTATGATATTACATGTAAGTCCTACTTAAGCGGGTCAAAAAGCACACTAAAGTACAGCAACTGGCATTTAATATACATTTTACCTATAATACATTTAAATTTTATTGCGGTTAATATGCAATGTGTCCAAAAACATTACATTCAGTTCTCACTTATATTGTTTTAGAGTATATCATTTCCTTAAGTCATTTCCTTTCTAATGAAAATGTGAGTGGTGGCTTTGAATGGTTTCTAGAGAGGATACCGATCGAAGGCTATTTGGTCCAGGCCCCCCCTGCAATGCAAATATTTGTCGCCTGTTTCTTCGTCCACTTTGCCTGAGCATTTAGAATAGCAATAGCACAGTAAACTCCTCAACAAGCTGCACAATTTAAGATATAATTCATGTACGTAACACAAATATGTGTGAGATATGTTAAATACTTTTTGTTCAAATATCTGACTCGCACTAGGGAATGACTGTGTTAGCAACCATGAATAACAGTGAATGTCATGAGCACAAATCTGCAATGTGCCCAACCTCATCTAAAAATGCCCTTCAGCTAAAATATGTGATTTATTTGTGGAGCAGGAAAGATTGACAGTTGGCTATGATCAGAAGCTGGTGTGGTAAAGCTGTCACAAAGGAACTTTATTGCGGTAATTGCGTTTCTCTAACTAGCGTGCCAGGCAAGAGCGGGTATGTGGGAACTGAGAGGAGCTCATGACCTTTCATTAAAATGAGCCCCAAAACTCATTAAAGACCAAGGCACGGTGTTCTTTCACAAGATTATATGCTTGTTCCTTAAACATTGGGCTTTATTATATGTGCTTAAAGCTGAATCACTGTTTGCTGTGTGTGTGTGTGTGTGTGTGTGTGTATGTGTGAATGAATGCATTTCTGATATTCACTTGTATCCACTGTGCATATATGGTGTGGGAGAGGTTGTTTACGCTGGACCCATGGTAGTTAGGTAGCATCTGGTGTTGCCATAGGAAGAGACATTTGAACTCACATTCAAGCGACCAACCACAGTTTATTTGGTTCTTATGTGCCATAGACTACAGAATTGTGGACTAAAAAAGTGCACTAAAACCAAGCAGTCAGATCAAAGCTCCTGATTTTAAACAGCTGACGGAAGTTTTTTTGTCTGCAATATGCATTAAAATGTGAGTGAATGGTGCCTTGAGTATCATGAGAAGAATAGAGTCAGAAAGAAAGAAACAGAAAATAGGGAGGTGGTGTGGTCATGGAGAAATATAGGGAGATGCGATCCTAGAGAAGTCACAAATGATAGACAACACAGCAGGCCAACCTTAATCATAGAGTACAACACCAACCTCTCAACATCCATAAAATGGGATTTTCGCAGGCCAAGCTACAGTCTTGCGGCATGTGTGTGTGCATGTGAATCTGTTTCCCATTACTCCCATTTCCCCTCATTCCCATTCCCATTTCCAATACTCTTATTGGCTTTGATCACTGCCACATGCAGGTCGAGGGGCAGTAAGAGTAGGGATCAAAGTTCAGAGGTCAGAGGGATGTTGCTCGTTTTTGAGAATTAACCGTAATTCAGCAATAGTTTACAGAGCTATTACGTAGATTATGTCCTTTTCAACCAGGCCCACACATCGCCTCTGCTTTAAAAACAGGGATTGAGTTACTGAGCATGTGTTTATGTCCTACAGGAACACATAAACCATTGCACCAATCTGATTTAGGGTCAGTTTAAAATAATTTGATTTGTGTTGGTGATGATCCCAAAGCCTGTGGGTTCAGTATGGCAGGGCTAGTTTTAAGAATGAGTAAAATAACATGAAGAAAGTATTATGAGACTGGGTGGAAAGTGTTTCTTAATCTCTCAAGTGTCTCTTACTTGGCACATCAAATTTCGTTCATGAACATGAGTTGAGTCAGGTGTGTTAGGCAAGGCAGTCATCCAAAATGTGCAGAGTTAGGGTTTCTTCTGGACTGATTGGAGTACATATGTCTAAGCGAAAGGATGAAGGGCTCACATTATGGCTCAGGCATCAATAGTTGAGCTTCTTTGCATTCCTTGTCTCAGCTATCTACCTTACCATATTGACATTGCCAAGAATGACATATTCCTGGATCAACATCCTTGGAATATTCCTAAAACCAAGGGTGTGTATTCCTGCCTGGAGATCTGCCTTGATGCAGAGTTTATGTTTTGAAA